TTTCAGCTTCAACTAATTAGATCTTCCTGAATACACATCAAAGGAACAACTTGAAGAGTGGTTGTTGCTTGCTATCCATGAAACTAGTGAAGGTTTTGGGCTCCAGAGCCGATGACTTCTTATCCTCTTTTCATTTGCAAGCCACCGTCCAATCCCAGGGTATGGTTTCCAGGTGGAAACCTGGGTAGCTGCTAAAACGGGACTAGCTACAAGAATGAAATTAGAGTAAACTAACCAAAGAAAACTCTTAATCCCAATGATGTCTATTGAAGTAATAGTGAAAGTCATTTGATACCAAATATTCTTAGATCACTGAACTACATAAAACCTCAAATATTTATGAAAATGGAGCTTTTATGCATTGCAAATAATCATGTCCAGCCAAATTGCTATTAGGTAGTTTAAGCCAAATATTAGACTAGTACTTTATGTATTGTAGAGGGTACCAATGTGTAATTTAGTCTAGTATATATATATATATCCCTGTATCATTATTATTATCATATAGAAAACACAATCATACGATTGATACCAAAACACAACTGAGGTGTGATCAACAGCAATTCATCCAAGTTGAACTGTTGAAGAATCAAACACTAATGACACAACAGGTAAATTATAGTGAGGATTAGCACGATTCAGCTACCTGATTAATTAGCATATACAGATCCCACGAGAAACTAAATTTCAACCGGATTGAAAGGAAGAAGTTGATTAATTCACTCTTAAGAAGTAGAAATAACAAGTTCAATAATCATCCAGAAACTAAAAATCTTCATTGGATACAGATAAATACTTGGAACACAGACGTAATTTCCACAACAGAAAGGGAGAGAGAGTTACCCTTGGATTGAAGCGTAAACAGACCGTACAAGGAATGGGATAAAGACTTGAATTTGTGCATATTTGGTTATCATCTCTTTTGACAAACTAAATCTCAGTTGCTGAAGCATCTTGTGATGTTATGGATTCGTCTCCTCGAATACAAACATCAAGATCACCAAATATGCCCCTTGGATGTAAAGGAATGTCAAACAGCTTTGGGGTTTAATCGCATATCTTGACCAAAAAAATGAACGCGGTTCCATCACTTGGATAACTGAATATCTCAAAGTAAGTTGTTAACTTTTTAATCATTATGTAAACATACTTAACTCTTTTTATAAACTTTTGTATTCTGTACTTTGCAGCCTCTATGTGGGCCCGACCCTGTGCTTGTTCTGGAATTCTCAAGTGAGTGTTGTGTATTGACTAAAATGCCCCTCATTTTGGTTAGTGCCTTATATTCTTGTAATTTTTTTTGTTCTAGAATGTACCCCCGGCTGTTTTGGTCCGCTTTTTACGGGAGCATCAATGATTTCAATGTCAATGCTTACTCTGCTGCCTCAGTTAAAGCTAACCCGTATGGGTATCCCGGGATGCGGCCCACAAGGTTTATCGAGTCTCAAATTATAATTCCATTTGGCCAGACAATTGAACATGAAGAGGTAATGAGAGATAAATCCATCCGGTTTTTTAGTCTCGTAGTTTCTTACTCTTGTATCTAATTTTTACTTTTTTAAATTCATTAGAATTGTAGTTTATTAGTCTGGTATCTAATTTTTACTTTAAAAAAAATTTTGGTAGCTATGTAATTGCGTTCCAATTTCCTTTCAAAATTTATTCGTGTATTGCCTTTGTTTTCAAAGAACCGTGTAAGTTACTCCGTTTGCTAGAGCATTTAAAAGAATTGCAAATTTGAAAGAATTATTTTCATGTTGCTGGAGCATTTAAAAGAATGATAATGTAGGTGGGAGCTTAGAGATTTGACAAAGAATATGCATATGGCATACGTCACAATTTTGGTAAAGAAGGTAAAAGAACGGTAATAAAGCTTCAATTATTTTGAAACCATTTTACTTTCTTATTAACCGGTAAAGTGTTTAATTTTTGTGAATAACAAATTGTTCTGTATCAAGATTTTAAATTTCTTCTATCCAACAAGTAGCTATGTAACCCTGCAGGAATGTTAGCAATGTTCATGAAGCATGGTTTCCCAATGAAGAAGTTAGCTTACATTAGCACATCTATCAATGATGGTCCTGGATGTTTGACTTTGAGATGCCCAATTCCATCCTGTGGTGCTGCTGTTGGTATGGACATGGTCAATATGAATTGGTAAATATCTATTTTTTTTTTAATTTTATAATCAAGATATTATTTATTTGATTTGGCAAATAATATGCAGAACTCCAAGTTCCTTCGGTTTGTTTCAAAGATGAGTCGGGGGGCATTGACTATTGACGATAACCAAGTCAGACCTGCAAGTGGGGACTGGGAAAATATCAACAGCAATATAATGCAAGTGAGGACTGGGCAAATGAATATATTAATCTTATCGACAGGTATCCAATAATCAATGTGTATGAATGTGTTGGACAAAAAGATTTCATTTTCAACTAGTGCTTATGTACCAGGGCAGCCTTCCAGGTCTGGATATGTATATGTATATGTATAGAAAGGAATTTTTTAATATGAACAAGGATAAAAGTGGAACAGTTTGGTTGGTTTTCTTTTCTGATTTGAACTGCCAGACACTCTCCTGCAAATTCAAAAGGAAGATGGCACATGCAAGGAGTATCCTTTGGGAGTTGTCCTTGAGGCCACCAAAAATACATTGATTCAAGGCAATACAAAACTCTTATTGGTAGATCATTTTGATTCCACTCTCATACATACATACATACCATGTGTATTATTAATTAATTGATATTGATATTGTACAACTGACATGATTATTGTGTAGGATTTCCGTGTTGTTCTTGATCAAGAGTTGGGATTGATATTGAAGTTAAGAGACATGATGTTTGGTTGGATACATGAAGGGTTTCAGAGCTTCTTAAGACAGGTTAATGATGAGTTTCTTAAACAAGAAGATTCCCCTTTATAGCAATGTAGTATTAGGTTATATAGTTAGGGAAAACCTCTTAATAACAATGTACAATCGGATCCCTTTAATATCAATGTATTACAATTTTTTGACATGATGTTATTGGATGAAATTGATTGTTTTGGTATATATTTGTTTCTATATTTTTGTATTATGCATAAAAGAGTATCGTAAAGGCACGTCGTATATGCATATCGTAAATGGTTGCTGAAGTTTATGACACGCAAATGCGTTTCATCTTCATTTATGACGGGGGCTTTAATGATACAAAATGCATGTCCTAAACGGGCGTTGTATATTTACGACACGCAAATGCGTGTCGTTTTCCTTTATGACAGGGCCTTCCTTGATACCCATTGCGCGTCGTAAATGCGTGTCGTAAATGTGTGTCATAAATGACGTCGTAAATGCGCGTCGTCTATAGACGACGCACAAAAGTGTGTCGTCTCTCGTTATGACAGGTCCTTCCTTGACACGCATTTGTGCGCCATCTGAGCGTTTTACGACACGCATTGCGCGTCGTAAAAGGTTGTTTTCTAGTAGGAGAAATAAAGAACGCCGAAATCCGAGTTATAACGAAGAAGTTATGACCTGTCGAAGTTTTGCGACAAAACTGGCACGACGTTGTGTGACATAAAAAGTGAGTTTACAATAAATTTGTTTTTAGCCTTAGCAATCTAAACGAAAGTTGTAATATATGTTAAACCAAAAGCATGCATAAAAAGAACGTCGAAATCTGACTTCGTGTAAGGAAGTTATGAATTTTTTAAGATTTGGCATAACAGTGTATAACTCAGAGTTCGAATTTTAGATCGAGCGATTTTTAGCACACACGACCTAAATGAGAATTAAAGATCTCATTAATAGGAGTTCAAAAATAAAAAGACAGTCGAAAACGGAGTCCGTATGTAGAAGTTATGAATTTTACACGGTCGTTAAACAGTGTAATCTTCTCATACTGTTAAATTTAAAATCGATCGAGAATTAGCCAATGGGGTCAAAAGGAGAGTTGTAGATCCTGTTAATACCTACGCGTGGATATAAAGAATGTCAAAAAAGGAGCTCGTATGCGAACATTAAGGGGTTTAGAAGTCGGTAGGGTGCTGTAGCGAAGTGGGTGACGTGGCGCAATCTGAGCCAGTGCTTTCCCTCCACCAGATGACGAAACGTGGCACCAAATCGACGAGTTGTACCAGAAACTCGACGAGCTGGGGGCCAGAAACTCGACAAGTTCACCCCTTTTTCAGCCAATAACTACCACCTGAGAGTTCCTTCATTTTTCATACCAAAATCCACTTCTTCTCTCTGCTCACTCTCTAAACCTCCCAAAACACCCCCAAAAGCCTAGGAAACTTCCATAGCACTTGAAGAAATCCCCCGAGCACTAGAAGGCTCCGAGAAAAAGAGTTTTTCGGTTCGGAAACTCTACCCCCATACAGTCCGGTTTGTAAGCAAACCTCGCGGATTCGTCAAAGCGAAGCGCTGTCCAAGTTGGAATCACCACTTTATCAAGTGAGTGCATAGTTACTTTCATATTACACATAGATATGAAGTATTTGATCTAAATTACGTGTTATGTGTGCATATTATCTATTTACTTGAGATCGGTGCTGGATGAAAGATTTATACTTCTTTGCTTTTTAGATCTAAACTGTATATGTATTTTATACCTTGAGATCTATACTGGATGAAAAATTTAAACTTTGTTTTTCATATCTAGACTGAATCTACAAATATGTTGGGTAAAACTGTTGGATTAGGTGTCTAAGCCCATAACTATAATTGGTATGTACTTGACCCGAGAGCAGCATGATCCATTTTGGGTTGCATTCACCGAAGCAATTTGATAGGAATGATATTTGAGAAAGTGGTTATTTGTGATTTATTAATTTATTATAAGAGTTATATATTAATTGAGAATTCATATTATATAATTGGTATTGATCAAGAATTAATTTGGAATTAATTTAGTGATCAAAAGAGACTAATTAAATTAACAGGGGCTGATTATGTAAATCAGTGATACATATAGTTTGGGCTAATGATCCATCATTGATTTGTGATGGACTAAGCTTATTTGAGAGTCCATGAAGTGTTAGTCCAAATGAACTCTTGGATCAAAAGCCTAAGTGTATGAATTAGGGTTTACATGTGACCCTTGGAATTCTACACTATATATGTAACCCCTAATCCTTAAAATCGAAACGAGTATTCTATGAAGGGGATAGACGATTTTGGTGGTTCCTATCCTCTATCTCATTGTCCTCCAATTGTTGGCGGTGTTTTGTGAACAATTAGAGGCATCACACTTGAGGTGTTGAGCTCTTGAAAGGCCAAGTTCTATAAGCTACAACAAAGAGGTAATCATCTAACTTGTTTTTATGTTTAAAATATCAATGTTGTATGCTAGTTAGGCTTCATGCTTTGAAAAATGAAAAATTGCATGTATAACTAGAGAAAACTTAGATCTAAAGCATTAGGGTTGTATGTGCACCATAGGAGTGTTATAGTACATAAAACCCAACAGTGGTATCAGAGTCATGGGTGTTTTCTGTTATATTGATGCATTACTTAATTGTTGAAAGTTGAAAAAATTGAAAAATTGATGTCTGGACATTGGACTCGATGAGTCCCATTAGTGGACTCGATGATTTGGGTCATTTAGTGATGAACTCGACGAGTCCAGTATCCGAATCGATGAGTTGGATCATCAGTTCGTAGTTTTTCGGGTTTTTTTGGCCAGAATTGGATTAGGTTCATTACCATAAATTTTTTTGTATCATAAAATCTGATTTTTCTGATATGGTAGTTATTATCCTCATCCAATTAAAAGATAATTAGCAATTTTTTAAGATAGTTGTTAGTTTATATGATAAGCTAGTTATTTGTATTATTTGAAATTATCTTTCTATATGAGTTAAATTAGGTCAAATTGGTAAATGTTAAATTATATGATAATTTTATTAGTTTAAAATTTGATCTAAATGTTTCTTGAAGTGTTTCATAACTTGCCCTCAAGTTATCGAATTTGAAAAGTCTCATTCATTAAACATTAACTACATAAGTTATGGAATTCAAAGGGTTTTGAATAGTTTCAAAACTTGCCCTCAAGTTTTGGAATTTAAAATTTAATTAAAAGCTTTAATTTTGAAATATTAAATTCTAAAACCATAGTAATTTGAAAAGGTTCAAATGTGCACCTCTTGGTTTTGTAACTTAAAATTTAATTAAATAGCTTTAATTTTGAAATCTTAAATTTAGAACCTTAATGTTTTGAATAGTTCAAATTACACCCTTATGGTTTTATTAAATTAATTAAGTTTTTAATTAAAAGAGAGAATTAATAAATCCATAATGACATAGTTTAAGTTTAATTAAATTAAAAGTCTAATTTATTAATAGATTAAACCATTTATTATTTTAAAGGTTTAAAATACACCCTTATACTATATAAAATTAAGAGCCTAATATATTATATATGTATAAGTTAAAAGTCAGTCTTACCATTAGTAGGCCTCATTCACGAAGCTGGTCTATAAGGGAGGTATAATGAAATTGCCTATAAAATGATGATTGAATGGGTGTCCACTCTCACCCACCGCTTCCTTGACCAGTGGAGGGTTGTTAGCCGAACGGGTTTGACAGGACACTTAAATCCTCATTAAAAGTTTAATGAAATATTAAGTAACTAAATGTTTTATAAATTCTCAATCTTAGTTACTTTAGGAAAAATGTAAATTTGATGCTAACCCATGAAATTGCACATTGCACCTTATTGGTCATTAGTGGAGCATGTGTGGTTAACTGAAACACTAATATGGGACTAATGTAGAATAGCAATGGGTAGATCGGGGATTATCATAGATCAATGGAGCGTGTGTGGTTAACCGGTACATTGATTAGGTGATAGATGTATTCGTCAGTACCAAGCTAATTTTCATGGTTATTCACACATTGTTTGTGATCCTCGGTATCCCAATCACAAACTTGAAGGGCATAATCGAGATTAAACGTGCCATTGAAAAGTTCAATGAATCTCAAAGAATCTAGGAATTTCAAATTCATTTAAAACCAAATGTTCATTTTCGTTTTTCATGGTGGAAATTGGTAAATTGTCATTTACCTACCTTCAAATAATATGCAATTGGATTAGGGCATCCCTCTTCCGAATTGCAGAATATTGTGTTGGGTCCTAGCCTTAATATTTCATTTGGGTGTTATATTAAGGGCTTAAATCAATTAACTTGAATTTCTCCCTTGTAGATGTCTAATTCTGACAACTATGGTCTTCTTGAATCTTTGGAAATAACTTTCCTCATGAAGATGATGTTCCACGCTTAGATCATGAAAATGGAAATCATTCTTTACTTCCTCCACCTCCTCCAATTATTCTCCCTGAACCACATGTCCGCCGACTTGAAAAGTTCAAGGTCACTCAAGCCCTATTGGCAAGAAAAGATGAAGATGGAAAGTATGTATGTGCTTACGTCTTAGACATGAAGCTGCATATTGATAGGCTGGGAATGTTGGGTGTCGTGTTCCCAAGGAAGCTGGCTATTGACTGGGTTCTTCATTCAATTCCTAATTCATATAGTGAGTTTGTTAAAGAATACTATGTGACAGATCACGACGTGACCCTTATCGATCTAACATATTTGCTAATTGTTGCTGAATCGGCAATGAATTGGTGCACTAGTACAACAGAATTGATTGGAAGATCTAGTTCCCAAGCTAGCATGGAGATAGGCAATGACATGGATATTCCAGAAATGATTCCTTCTCCTACAGGAAGGGAATTGGCCCTGGTCAAAATATTTGACCATAATAGAAAAGCCAGTTCTGAGATAGCTCCATGTGCAAATGCGAAAGAGTCCACTTGTTTGTACTGCCATTTGAAGGGACATTGCAAGCGAAGCTGCCCTGGCTACCTGAGAAATGTAAGAGAGGGTAAAATCAAATTATATGGTTCTACTTCAGGTCAGTTCACTATCTAACTCTAT